CGAATAAGCTACGTCATTTTCGATTGAAAGAATAGCGAGGGCTGAAAGCCGATCTTGTGTCATTGAAAAAATAGTATTTAAAATTTGCTTGGGTTGTTGCGCGAGGCCCCTGTAGGAGCGAGGCCCCGGGCGATTGCCCTGTTCGCCACCCCCTAAGACCGCCACTGACGGATAGAATACATATACTGTACATATATAAGTGTATTTATATAAATACATATTAAACATCCATGACTAGAGTACAAATGCTCGTATTCATCACACAAACATCTGCCCCCACCGGGATTCGAACCCGGGACCTCTCGAGTCGGCGACAGCCATGAAACCCGGCGTACAAACCACTCGGCCACGGAGGTCGTCAATTAGGTATAAGAAGAATGTGATTGTGTATAATACAAGCCTGACAACAAAAACTATAGTCTACACTTCAGCTATACACCGAAGCGAAGCGAGGGCGGGCCACTAGTAAACAATAAACTGATTAATTATGAAGAAAATTGTAAGATTAAGACGAATTCGCATAATTTACTCCAATTATGAATTCTGGTATTATGAAAATACGGATATCCGTCTATTCTCTAAATACGTAGGTAAACACGGCTTAATGGGCTTAAATGGGAATTGGTACTCAGGAGAATTAGCTATATTCTAGATTACTTAGTATGCATTAAGGTCATGTCATAATGTTTCCCCATTAACATTGAAGATAAAAATAACCTTGTTGGCTTGGTCTTTGATGTATGCTTACATAACTTCATGCCATATAATTATAGAAGTTACCGAAGCTTATATAATCTCTTATCTATTAGACAAGTCCGTCCGTCCGTCCGTCTGTCTGTGGTGCTGTTTCAGCGGCCAAACCGTAAGAGATAGATAAAGAGAATATTTAAGTTATAAGTTAAGAATAGTCTGATAAGACTACAAACCGGATTTGAGTAACGTAGCACTTCCGGTTTTCGAGAAATTTTTAATTATCACAATTTTAATTAACTATTTAAAGGTTATTTTCTTTTTTTTTTTTTAAAAAATCAGGTTTTGGTGAACATTTGGTTCACTGGTTTGCTAGTATTTAAACTAATACCTATTATAATAATAGATAACAGTTTATAGTTTTTTTTTTGAGAAGCTCGATGGTAGCGCGTTCGGCTGCGATCGTTGAAGTATAGCAACTTTCGCAGTGGTCATCATTGGATGGGTGCTTCTTCAGAAGGCAGGTTAAGCCGTTGGTCCCGGCTGCATTTGCAGTCGTTAGCACCCGCCAATCCGCACTGGGCCCGCGTGATGGGTTATGGCCCAATCTCCCTATTCCATCCATAGGGAAGGTCCATCCATGCCCCAGCAGTGGAGACACTAATAGGCTGATGATGATGGTGCTATAGAATTTTTATATTGTTGTTAATATCATTAGCACGCTGTCTACCTAATTGATACCAATCACACTTAAAAGAACCTTAAAATAAAAAATAGATTAATTATAACTTAGCTTACCCATAGCTAGCTTAAGTACCTTCGTTATTTTTATATAATAGTTTTTCATATCCTATTAACAGACCCGTCTTTCCCGGTGGGCACTTTGGGCAAGTGCCCAGGGCCCCGCGATCGATAGGGGGCCCCCTCAGGTCAAATACAAAGTCCCTAGTTCCTGTTAAATAACCAAAATGGAAGTCATAGGGGCCCCATTATCCTAATATGCCCAGGGCCTCCAATAGGTCAAAGACGGCACTGCCTACTAATATTATACTTAAACTAGCGTCCCGCCCTCGCTTCGCTTCGGTGTAGAGCTGAAGTGTAGACTACAGTTTTTGTTCTCAGGCTTGTATTATACACAATGACATTCATCTATGATTCTTCTTATACCTGCATGCAAAGTCTCAGCCCGATCGGTTTAAAATTGACAAAGTTTCATACAAACTTTCATTCCCTATTTTATCCCCTTGAGAGTAGAATTGATCAAAATCCTAATCCTAGCGGATGCCTACGTCATAACATCTACCTGCATGCCAAATTTCAGCCCGATCCATCCAGTGGTTTGGGCTGTGCGTTGATAGATCACTATGTCAGTCAGTCACCTTTGAGTTTTATAAATATAGATGCGAAAGTTCGTAAGTTTGTTACTCAATTAGGTACGCAAAAACTACTGAACAGATTTGAATGAAATTTGGTACGTAATTAGTTTATGACTAGGATTGAGACATACTTTTTATTGCGTTACATTCCTCAATAGCAAAAAATAAAGATAACGCGGACGAAGTCACGGGTGGCAGCTAGTTGTAAATAAGCATTACTTTTATCTAAATGAAAACAGCGTTCAGCGAAAATTCCAACTTAAAAAATGAAAACCTTTTTAAAATTATTTGTCCGATTATATGTTCCTGTGGTACGTTAGCTATATATAGCTCCAGACTATATAGGCTATAGCTTTATTTAGCCTTTCCGGTTTGGCAAGCCATTAAAAATACAACAGCATGTGACGCGCCACATGAAAATTATCATTACCTAGAAATGATATTGAGGTTTTAGTATATTTGCATCAGAATTGCAGTCGGTACAAATTAAGTGACTGGAACTGTTTTGACCTTTAGATTCGTGACCATAAAGGGTGTAGGGCGAATTTTATGCTGTCTTTATCTAATATATAAAACTAGCAAACCAGTGAACCAAATGTTCACCACAACCTGATTTAAAAAATGTATTTAATTAATTGAGAACTTCGGAGATTTTGTGTGGTTTCGTTTGAAATTATTTAGTTAAAAAAAAATAAAAAAAATATTAACCTTAACAAAATAGAAATCACGTGATTTCTCGAAAACCGGAAGTGCTACGTTACTCAAATCCGGTTTGTAGTCTTATCAGACTAATCTTAACTTATAACTAAAATATTCTCTTTATCTATATCTTACGGTTTGGCCGCTAAAACAGCACCACAGACAGACGGACGGACGGACTTGTCTAATAGATAAGAGATTCTCGCATCACGGTGTGCGTAGTTGAACTACATCGAAACGGATTTTTATATGCATATTCAGTAACTATAATTAAAGCAGTCTGAGAATCGGATAACATCTATTTTTCATCCCCCTAAATGTTAAGGGTAGTCCACCCTTATTTTTTTTACAGAATTTTTGAAGTGAAAACTTCTTTAGCGGCGTAGTACACTTTTTTTTGTATGGGTAAAAAATGTTAAACTCGCGTCAGGTTTAACACATGGGCTGATCGCATCATGACACACAATAAAATTGGAAAGGTTGTTGACTTTCAATAAATTGGACGAAAGCATAGTAATATTTTATTTTATCGTATTTATAATAAAAAGTCTCTATCTAGGACGTCCACGTGGCAGCTTTATTGCGAAGAAAATGCATTTTTTTACAATAGATAAAGTTTTTTAATGTATTATAAATTGTCATGTTTGTGTACGATAGTGCAATAAATAAATGTTGTATTCTACCACATACATGATTTTATACTATATAATGATTAGGGAATAATTTTGCACGAATTGCTTTAATTATATATACTGATAATTAAAGCAATTCGTGCAGAATTATTCCCTAACCATTCCAAAATTTCAAAAATGCACAACGTTAATATTCAAGTTTTCACTTCTACCGGCACTCCCGGAGTACAACCCGTCGTTTTGTTTTTTATTTTTTTTATGATACATCATACAAAAATACATAAAACCCTAAATTTTCACAATTCTACCACCAACCCCTATTTTTTATGGCGGTACGAAGTTCGCTGGGACAGCTAGTTTTATTATATATTCGCTTATTTGTTCATTATATTATAAGGTGATGACGGGTTGTGTTGTGATGTATATTCGATAGATAGATAGAATTCGATAGTTAGTAGAATAGGCCCATAAGAAGAAGTCTGAAGGGAGGTCGTATGGGTAGGAAACAGAGGAACAGAAAACTGCCGGACTTTTTGGCAGCATGTCCACTCTCAAAGCGCCCGCCAGCCTAGCGTGTAAGAAGTTTATTTAGATTTGTGCTCCCATAGTAAATACGAGCCCGTATTTCGTTAATACACGTCATTATCATTAGCATATTCCTCAGGCGATGTAGACTGGATAATTTTGCTGCGAACGATAAGATAAAAGAAATTGTATAGGTCCTACAGAAACACACATGCGCGGGTATTAAGTAACAATGTTATGTCAGTGCCGTAGTTTCTTGAAAAAAGAATTGCTTAGATAACACCAATGCAGAGACGCCGGCATAAAGACCACACTGACAATGCCTTCGTCTCTTGAACGAATGTTTGCTTTGCTGCAGGGGCGTAATTTAAAATCCCCCGCCCTACACCATTTACGATTATTACCCCAGAATTAGTAAATCAAATCAAAATATAGGGGAGTAACGAATGCCTTTGTATGACTTCTGCCGGCTCTCGCAGCTCTCAGCCACCCTCCGCAGCCTGATACCGCTTCGGGCCATGCTCCTCTTGGCCTAAAGTAAACACGCCCCTGCAAAGAAGGGCAGGACTATGCCTTATTTGATTGACAAAATTCAAATCTCCGGCAAGATAATCCTCAATCCTGTATTAAGAACGTTGATGCCACATTTCGCATTAATTGGGCCAATGATTGGGCCCTATTTCTGAAAATACGCCATTCCACGCGCTCATACTGAAAGCTTTGCATGTACTTTATAATGCAAATAGATCGGTTACGAAATTCACTGCCGACTCTGTGTTCCCTATATTTCCCTTCACTTAGGGAAGCTCATCTGAAAACTGTCAATTTGTAACATATTTTTTTTAGTGGAGATATTAAAAAATATTATGTAATGTTGGGGGCACACTAAAGTGTAATGCCGTTAATTACCGCGTTTAACGTCCAGGACGTGCGCGATCTAAGTTTAGTCGGGGTCCATCATCGCGTTGAATTAACAGTATTTCCCGTTAGTGTGGACAACATTACGGATAAAAATAATCAAATTTTACGATGTTAAAAACGACGACACATTATTAACAAGTCAATTATTTCCGAACAGAAATAATCGGAAGAGTGCGACAGCCTATCGGAGGGATACTGTTCAGGCCGCCGCTGAGCGGTTTGCAGGCAAGACCGTCCGTGCTGGCCGTCCTCAACGCATGTTGGAGCGAGCGGCCTGACCGGAGGCCGGACCTGAGACTGGTCAGACTCAGGCTGAAAGACATGCACGCCGGCATGTAAGTATAATACTTTACAGAAGACTTAAGAGCACCTTCGAAGCATTCTGGGAGTCTACAATGGACACCTACTCTGGAAGGATACAGTTCAGGCTACCGTTGAGCGGTTTGCAGGCGAGGCCATCTGTGCTGTCCGTTCTCAACGTGTTCAGGAGCGAACGGCCTGACCGGAGGCCGGACCTGAGACTGGTCAGACTCAGGCTGAAAGACATGCACGCCGGCATGGAAGTATAATACTTTACAGAAGACTTAAGAGCTCCTTCGAAGCATTCTGGGAGTCTACAATGGACACCTACTCTGGAAGGATACAGTTCAGGCTACCGTTGAGCGGTTTGCAGGCAAGGCCGTCCGTGCTGGCCATCCTCAACGCATGCTGGAGCGAGCGGCCTGACCGGAGGCCGGACCTGAGACTAGTCAGACCCAGGCTGAAAGATATGCACGCCAGCATGTAAGTATAATACTTTACAGAAGACTTAAGAGCTCCTTCGAAGCATTCTGGGAGTCTACAATGGACACCTACTCTGGAAGGATACAGTTCAGGCTACCGTTGAGCGGTTTGCATGCGAGGCCATCTGTGCTGGCCGTTCTCAACGCGTTCTGGAGCGAACGGCCTGACCCGAGGCCGGACATGAGACTAGTCAGACTCAGGCTGAAAGACATGCACGCCGGCATGTAAGTATAATACTTTACAGAAGACTTAAGAGCTCCTATGAAGCATTCTGGGAGTCTACAATGGATACCTACTCTGGAAGGATACAGTTCAGGCTACCGTTGAGCGGTTTGCAGGTGAGGCCATCTGTGCTGGCCGTTCTCAACGCGTTCTGGAGCGAACGGCCTGACCCGAGGCCGGACATGAGACTGGTCAGACTCATGCTGAAAGACATGCACGCCGACATGTAAGTATAATACTTAACTGAAGACCTAAGAACTCCCCCGAAGTATTTTGGGAGTCTACAACGGAAACCTACCCTGGGTTTGCCTTAAAAAAAAGGACAAGGTATGTGTGTGTGTGTTTTTACTCACAAAAACCTTTAAATCTGAATAAGGTATTAATTTGTTAGGCAGCACATACGAGTAAATTATGCATTAAAATATACACAGTTGACATCATTAGAATTCGTTTCACGTTGTTCATGTTGAATAATTATCCACTTAAGACTTAATAAAGTGTAATGAACTATGCCTATTTGCTGCCATGCTAAGGAGCTTAAAGCAATCGATTAGCCAGAATATTGAAACGTGTTTCGTGTGACTATGACTATAATAAAATGTGATTACGTTTAATTGCTAAATGCTTAGGTTTTATAAGTTTTTAGCTTTGATTATTTACTTCCTAGATAGAGCGTGATAGCGCAGATGCGTTGAAAAAAATATCTCCCAACGGGTGGGGTTTAAGTCGTTTCCCGTCACTTAGTGTTCAATGCAACGCTGAGGGATGCGCACGTCAATTATTTTACCGATTTTCATGTGGAAACGGTAACTTAAAAATGCCGAGTTGCGAGTTAAAAAAATGGATGCGTGTAACTTATGTACGCGCGTGAGAAGTTATACTTCTTTAGCATCATTAAAAATATTTTTTAATTGCATGCAAATAATTAATAATTACAATAAAATAATAAAAGGACTGGAAAAGGATAGTTAACACAGTCAATTAAGTTCAGTGTTAATTTGAAAAATTAAATAAATATTCAAAATATTCAATTAAAATCACCACTGCAATATTCAAGAGTTGAGCCTGACTAAATTTAAATCGACTATTAAAAAAACTCTTATTAAGAATGCTTATTATAAAGTGTCTGATTATATTACAGACAAAAATGCTTGGGTTTGAACTGTTCCAACCATTCCAACGGGTATTTCTATATGATATATATTATGGATCATGTGTTGATGATACTTTTATTGAAAAGCTGTATTTAAAGCTGATTACGTAAGGAAGAATATCAGACTATTTAAGAAGATTTGAATGACAAAACGGCGTGGTCATGATTTCTCCATTGTTTTTGCTTTGTAATTGTTTGCAGTGTCCTACAGATAAATGACTTTAAGTTTAAGTAAATATGTTGTGGTTGATATAGGTGGTTATGGGTAGTCATGCTCTCTTAAAAGTCTCTTCGGTGGTGTCGTGTGAGGCGGGTCGTTACGTTCCCTAAAATATGGTTGAGCGAAGCGATGGCTGGTTCATGCGTCATGCTCGTGAACGGGTGCTGCCAGCGGAGATGAGTCTGCCCTAACTACTTTGATATTTAAGATATAAATGTTTAATTACACCTATTATAAATAACTCTGTTTGTATTTATACTGTGTGACACAGCAATCAAAATGCAGGTGTACAATTAATGTATAATTTCACATTATGTAATGAAGGGTGACTTCATGAATCATCTCTGAAGTCATTTTTCAACTTGACGACTCTGTAAATGATAAAACAGGGAGAAAAAAACAGCCCTTGCTGAGTTTCTTGCCGGTTCTTCTCAGTACAAGGTCTCCCGCCGTAGATTTACGAACCGATGGCGTAGCTTCTAGACATTCATATGTGCTTGTAACAGCCTAAACTGAATAAATGATTTTGATTGATTGATTGATTGACTGAATTTAAGTTATCAGTCCGTATGTAATTAGCACTTGTAAGTAACTAAAACACGTTGTGTCTATATAGAAACTAGAAACATGTGGATAAATATTATAAATATGAAAACAGTGATCAGAGGCGACGAGCGTGCCAACATTGTTTTTGACAACGCGATCATCTTATGGAGCTCCGTGGATCGTTCAAAGTACCTTTCGAACAGATGTCTAATAATGGTGGATTATTAACCACTTAGTGGTTAATAATCCACCATTATTAGACACTAACATTCATAACGCGCCCGCGGCCAACTTCATAGTGTTACTATTTTGTTACAGTGATGCGCGCGCATCTCGAAATTTCACTCACATGATTTTTTCATAACGCGCCCGTGGCCATCTTCATGCTGTTACTTTTGGGTTACAGTGATGCGCGCGCATCTAAAAATTTCACTCTCATCATTTTTTCATAACGCGCCTAAAGAAGTATAAATTCAAAAATTTCAGAAATTATAAAAGACGTATAATAACAACTAACAAAGTCGTTTACCATCGATAAGTTACTCATTATTCACATTAAAAAAAATAAAACTATAACATCATATTAATTAAAAGAAATACGACACCGAATTGGTATTTTCAAAGTGACATCAGTGTCTCATTACAAAATTCCCCAAAAAAAGTAAGCATGGAGTTCCAAAAATCAAGAAAGAGCTTTGATAAATAAATACTGATAACGTCTGCAATGTCAGCCTGTTTTCAGGGACTTAACAAAATAATTTATTGAATCTGAAGCCACAACGATACTAAAGAGGTTTTCACTCCAAAAATGATATTTTGCTGTTTCTTTGTTTATTATCATGGCATGATATTTCCGAAATAAGCTGGTTAAAGTAAATAAAATTTTGTAACAAAAAATATACATATCCAAGTATAAATTTATACGTTTTTCAGATGCTTCAACGTTTATGATTCAAAAATGTATGAATAATATACTATTTTTTATTTTAATAAGTTTACCCATTATTTTGGGAAATGTGGCCTTACCTGCTAGCAAACCATCACCGAGACACAAAGAATGACATTTCGCGAGTGTAAGATACAAGATTCGCGTGTTTTGTTCTGTGTGTCACGCACACAAGTAATGTGTAAGTAATACAGGGTGTAAAAAAAAAACTGTAACGAAGTCGAACGAAGGCCACGTATTTTCTACATCATGAAGATCATTTCTTTCTTCTGGACCATACCTGGGAAAGATCAATGTTAAAATTGGTCTAAGAATCAAACACCAATTTGGCATTTATGATAATTCTTAGAATATTTTTCGCAATAATTATCAGTATTTGGATTGTGACGGACACTTCCAGTTAAGTAAGTTAAATTAAAAAGTTAAAATTAATCTGAGACAATAAATACCATTTTATGTGTATAGTCTATGGCAGCGCTGCAAACAAAACACTCTTTCTTCCTAATGCCGGCACTTCACTTGGCTATTCGTATTTGCTTTTTTGAAACATGACATCAGTCTGTCCTTTTCATTCTTTATTAAGCATGACAAGGACAAACTGTTGTCAAGTGAAGGAGCCGGCATAAAACCCTGTGGTTGTGGTGCATGTACTTTGCATTTTTAGTAATCTGTGGCATTTGTGCATTCCAAAGAGTATTTTAAACCGGAAAGTGCATTCTCGTTTCGGATTACCTGTTGTGTGTGTTTATTTGCGATTGTTTTTCCTTTAATTTAACTATTTTGGCTATCTAATATGCCATCGATGTTACCAAAGAGCAGAGCCCTTATTACCAAGTGCTAGTGAACCTGTGCCACAAAATCCTGAGAGGATCATTTTCATTTCAAATTCACGCTGCATATTTACACAATATACATGTGATATACAAATAAATACAATTAAACAATATGATACAATTACTTGAAAAATAGTCAATAAATAAGAAGCAAAACTACAGTTTTTATTTTATTCATGATTCCTACCTAACCAAGTTTTTCCTAACAGTTATTCTTTAAAATCGCACCGAATAAAATGAATTAGTTGTAATATTAATTCACCACATACTGAGTTCATACTAAATTCATAGGTTGACCTATGTTTCATTGAATAATAAACATAAACGCAAAAAAAAAAGTTTTTCCTAATAATTTAAGTTCTCAGAAGTGTCCGTCAATAATCTTTGTTTTTACAGTCATTTACTTACGATTTTGAACCTAGAAAATAATATTTCATGATTGTTGGTTCTTAGGCTAACTATGTATGGACGCTGAACAATATCCTTTATGTTTATGAAAATAATGAAGGTCAAAGTCAATTTTTTTTTTTCTAGATTTATACATTAATATTTTCAAAACGTTATTTAGAAACTTTTTTATCGACACACTTACACACACGCACACACATACACACAGGCACATTCTTTGCGTAACGCCACAGTAGCGCGCCGCGCTATACATAGAGTATTGGAAAAAAAATATTTTTTTAACTTAAAAATACAATTTTTTCCCGCCTTTAGTATTCTGTAATGTGACTTGTTTGGGTGTACAGAATTTTTTACACCCTGTATAAAACCTGGCCTGTTTTATCGCAGTGTTTTTAAGGTGACGCTCTATCTAGAGAGAAAATAATCACAGCTTTTTAGATGTAACATAGATCTGGCTAATGGATCTTTTGAGATTATAGGATGTTTCTATTATAAATATTATGGATATGGGAGCTATTACATAAAATAAAGAATTTAATATATTTGATTCTTCTTTTAATCAAAACCTACAATGGTTTTCACATTAGGTACTTTATAATAAAAAGCGCTTTTAAATAAGCTTAAAGTATTTATAATTTTAATTTTATAAGCATGTAACTGCTTGATGTTTAAATCTAAAGAAAATATAATAGAAAAAAATCCACGCGGACCAGGCAGCAGACGGGACTCGAACCCGCACCCTTCGCAATCCGGGCAAATGCACTGACCAATTATGCTACCGCGGCCCTGGCGGCCGCGTCGAAATTCTTCTAGCCATTCTTAAGCTGCAAGGCAGCGCCATTTATTCGCATTGTAGGTAACCCACAATGTCAAATGAATATTTTTACAAGTATTAAACATTTGAAAGAAGAAATAGCAATTATAGTTATCATTTTAATTTTATAAGCATTTCAGGAATTTCGATGTTGCCGTCAGGGCCGCAGTAGCATAAATGGCCAGTGCATTCGCCCGGATTGCGAAGGGTGCGGATTCGAGTCCCGTCTGCTACCTGGTCCGCGTGAAATTTTCCTAGTTATATTTTCTTTAAAGTTTAAAGTATTTTTATCCGTTCTGAGGTTGTTCCCCTCTTACATAAGTTAAGTGTGTGCAAAATCCATCTGCAAAGATAACTATTAAGCCGAAAATAAATATCGCAAAATATACACTCAACTTTTTACCTTTCCCACAGGGCTTAAACAAAAAGCTTTGATCTTTGTCAACTTTAAAACCCGTCATGAAAACTGCCGGACGTTTTGGCAGCATGTCCACTCTCAAAGCGCCCGCCAGCCTAGCGTGTAGGGAGTTTATTCAGATTTCGTCACGTCCATAGTAAACTTACGAATTTTAATTTTATAAAACCTACTACGCCAAAATATAATATATATTAATTTGGTAAGTTTACTTTGGGTGCAGATTCAAACAATCAGACATTTGGAATCGTCATTGATTTTTCCCTGGTGTTAAGTACCCCAATATGTGCCATTTTTTATTATAGATTTTTACTAAAGAAGCAGATTCGTGAGTTTGCCGTAGATGTGACGATTTGTGCTCCCCTTAACTTGTCCCTTTAACGTCTGACTGCCTTGGGTAGCAGTAACTAGTACCTATTACTTGGCTGCAGTCTTCTGTAAGTAAGAAGATTGTAGAACCGATAAATCAAAATAAATAAATTCATCTACAGGAAGACGAACATATTCGACAACATGCTGTCTATGATGGAGAAATACGCTTCCAATCTAGAAGAGTTGGTAGCAGCGAGAACTGGACAATTATTACAAGAGAAAAGGCGAACCGACGATTTGCTGAACAGAATGCTACCAAGGTAATTAAATGACATAACTTCACACCAGTACCCTTAGCACGAACCAATATCGAATTCGAATCGAATGCGAGTACGAAATGTCATTGTCAAATATGTACTGATTTTTAGTTCTTGTTACGCTAGTTGTAATGGCGCTGCTGTTCAAGTTTCCATACAAAATTTGACATTGACATTTCGGACTCGCAAACAATTCGAATTCGATATTGGTTCGTGCTAGGGGTACTGCTATCTTATAATGCTTCTCCCCGCACCTACTACGCAATGAAGCTTTGGAACTAAAATGCGCTAAAATTTGCGTTCGAACTTCAAATTAAAGTACGCTCCGTCAGCTGCACATGTAAATTTATGGTCTCCCACAACTTGTTTTATACGTGTCAAAAATCACCTGACAAGCTATACTGTAGCGTCTATAGACACGAAGCCCTATTTTTTTTTTCTAAATCGCTTCGCACGGCTAGTACATTGAGCCAGTGTCAAGTGTTAATATGTTTAGAAATACTATAGCACTCGTGGTCAAAGTAATAAATCAAGTCAAAGTAAGTGGCAGTCAAGTCAATTCCCCTTTCCCTATGTTTCAGTAAAAGTGTGGGGATTTACTGGAACCTCCCCGTGGAGTTCTTGAGGGAACGTCGAAAGACACTTTCCGCTATTTTATTTCACTTGCCAACACTTGTGCGTGTTCCCGAACACTTAGTGGTTAATAATCAACCGTTTTTAGACACTAACATCCGCCACAACACAATTTTCAACAAGAAAATCAAAACTGCTAAAGTGACGCTTCCCGATCCCGCCAAAAAGTCCCGATTATTCATTACGATAGAACTAATTCAAATTTCGAACACTAATTTTAGCGTGTTTAGTAAAAAGCTTTGGCGCGCATTTGTGGTGGAAGTTCTCGTTTATCAAAATAACATTATGGGAAGTTTTTATTCACAATCGATTTTCAAAACTACCTTTTTGACGTGACAACGTCTTAAATTAGGTTGCGGCTGGGAGTCACTTATGAAAAAGTGTAACGCTCGGTAACGTTACGATGAGTCTCTCGTGTTAAGTTTAAGTTTACATGTACAATGTTTTAGTAAACAAAATATATTTCTATAGTTAAAATTTGTGCAATTCTTATTTTCATTCAATTCCTTGTTCCTATTGTGCAATTTAATTATATTCATATCAATAAATATTCTACCGAGAAAAAGACGTTGTCACGTAAAATCTTCGCCCGTAAAACCGACTTTACAGGCAACCATTTTTTACTTTTTTTTTGTTTGGGTCGGTGAAAGCATTTTCAGAAAAGGTTTCCATTAGCAGATAAATTTATGGGTAGTGCAACTCCCAACCAGCAAAATGATTTCTAGAGAATAATAATAAATATTCTTTATTGCACACAACAAAGGACACAACACATAAACAAATATAACAGAAGAAAGAGTATAATAGGCGGTGTTATTGTAAACAGCAATCTCTTGCAGGCAACCTATGGTGGAAGAGCAATCATAATATAGATAAATAAAGAAGGGTGCAAAAGTAAATACAGGAGATAGGTATCCTTACATAATTATTTAAGAGAATATTTAAGACTTTCAAAAAATTTTACAGCAATAAGAGTTCACGGGAACAAGTTATCAAAATATTACATAATATAGGTATAGACTATAATATAGGTAATAGGTACTGCGGAGTTCTACCCTGAAGGGATAGAACCTGGGGGCGTAACGTTATATTTGAAAACTAATTAGATATTTAACTCTATTTATCGGGCGAATATAATATGTGAATTTTATCTATCTACGAGAGGTTTGGTGCCCTAAGTCCATATGATGTGGAACCTTCTATCAAAAGACAGACGATTCCTTATTTCAAATATTAAAATCATGACATTATCTTTTTAATAGAACTGCCAGCCGTAGGCATTGCATGATCAAAGAGTTTACCCAAACAAGGAGGCTGTAACGTAACGGACGTTACAGTACCTTAAAATATATTTATAAATAGTTAATTTTTTTAAGCTAGATGTTATATCAAAAGAAAAATTTCCTAGAAAAAATCTACGCGGGCCATGCAACAGAAGGTTCTTTATAAACTTTGAAAATAAACGTCTAAGTTTTTGTAAAAATACGAAGAAACTTGGCGACATATAAAGTAGGTACCTTTTATTTATTTCACATTATCTCTTATTTATTAGACAAGTCCGTCCGTCCGTCCGTGGTGCTGTTACAGCGGCCAAACCGTAAGAGATAGATATAGAGAATGTTTAAGTTATAAGTTAAGAATAGTCTGATAAGACTACAAACCGGATGTGAGTAACGTAGCACTTCCGGTTTTCGAGAAATCACGTGATTTCTATTTCAAACGAAACCACACAAAATCTCCGAAGTTCTCAATTAATTAAATACATTTTTTTTTTTGGTGAACATTTGGTTCACTGGTTTGCTAGTCTCTTATCTATTAGACGAGTCCGTCTGTCCGTGGTGCTGTTTCAGCGGCCAAACCGTAAGAGATAGATAATGAGAATATTTAAGTTATAAGTTAAGAATAGTCTGATAAGACTACAAACCGGATTTGAGTACAGTATTCTTATTACAATGGGAATTCTTATTTCAAACACATAATATTTACATATACATAAACAATTACCTTACATAATACACACAATAAAATTTTAAAAAACTGCTAAACTTCACGATCACAGACCGAACGTTTTTATAACTGCAACCAGAGCCAGTTTTAAAACAGACAAGAAAACACCAATGGATTATTTTAATGCGCCACGTTTTGCCCAACAAAAATAAGAGCAGAGTTTACCTTGCTGAAATCCAATTACCGTCCCAACACTGAGAATTGTAATGTAATTTGGCAGCACTTCTTCTCTAAGCCGACCGCATTTTGAAGGCTTTCTCCCTTGTTTTCCGGTTTCAATGATGAGACGTTTGGGTATATTATGCATTCAGAATTCCCTTCTTTGTTTAAAACAAGCTTTGTTACATTATTAATGATTTACTGGCTAGTAGGTTTATTTTTTTGTTTTAACGAGTTTTGAAATCACTTACTGCCTTCTATAATACCTGCGTACTTAGTTTTAGAAAGACAGAGCTACTTATCTTAGAAAAACCTTTGACAGCGCAACGTAACCAACCGAACGTATTGTAAAATGTTTTATGTAAATAATACGACACGGAACACTGTTCTAAACGTTTGTAACTAATAAAAACACTATAAATAAGAGAAATAAAACACTTAAATTACGTTTTTCTGTTAAAAATCCGTTGAAAACCACACAAAAACTTTCACAACAAGGCACACGCACAAGTGCGCACAACACAATGGCGCGAAATGTTTTACCGTGTGTTGACACTTGTGATTGTGCTCTCTTTGTTCACTGTGTGTCCTGTGATTGGATATTCGTCAGTAGCTCTATACCTTATCTGTGGTATATCGAAAACCGTATACGAAAATTCGTCTTACAAAAGAAGTTATAACGAAGAGAGTCGTGAGGCGGCCCAGAGCATCATATGATGCTCGCGGTCGTTAGCGCACTGTAAGCGCGCGCATCATATGATGCTAACGGTATTTCGGGAGTAAAATAGCAGTGTGTTTGTTTTATTGTAATATTTAACGTCGGTATCTATAACACTAGCTGACCCAGCGAACTTCGTATCGCCATAAAAATATGGGTGGTAGAGTGGTGAAATTAAGGGTTGTTTGTGTTTTTAATATTACAATACATATTTAACGTAGTTTTTTTTCTTCAGACGTTTAATAATTATTTTGAACACAAAATCGGTTATTGTGATTAAACCACGATAGCTAGATATATGTTCTCGCGGATTTTTTTATAGGTCTTAATGGGATCTACAAACCCGTAGTACATCATTTTGTTCTATTGTCAAGAGTTTTTGCAGCGCACGCAAAAATAGGTTTTCGATTTTACACCTTGTGGTACAAAATAGCAATTTTATTACGGATCCCTAATTTTGAAAAAAAAAATAGGCTATAGCCTTCCTCGATAAATGGACTACCCAACACTGAAAGAATCATTCAAATCGGACCAGTAGTTCCAGAGATTAGCGCGTTCAAACAAACAAACAAACTCTGCAGCTTTATAATATTATTTGTAACTAGCGGACCCGACAGACGTTGTCCTGTCTACACGTCTTTGTGAATCTAAACCATTCTCAGATCCCCTTGAACACACACAAAAAATTTCATCAAAATCGGTCCAGTCGTTTAAGAGAAGTTCAGTGACATACACACTCACAGAAGAATTATATATATAAAGATATAGATAATAACGGTGATTTTTATTACCTGTATTTATAACCAAACTAAAATTCTCATATTTCCGTTTTCCAGTACTCATTTTCTACACGTTTTACATGATTTATTTGCTAATTTTGTTTACAAATGTTTGGTTTTTATTCTAAGATAAGCACGGTTTCTCAATATCAATTATTGTCTGTCAATAAGGTCGAACGCTCTGAACGCATCAACAGCCAAATATTGAATGAAGCTCGCTTTCTTTTTTTTTTGTTTCCTCCCAGGCGGGGGAGCGGTTGTGAAATCCTCATGGATACCCTACAGCCGGCTGTAGAGTTATGTCAGACTCTTACTGACTAAAACACACCCGTGGGGGGTGCCTATGGCCTTAGGGGCCTTACAGGCTTCATCTGATGCGATCAACCCCTGAGAAGGGGATGATGCAGCGCTGCCTTAGTAAATACTACTGCATAGAGCGCTTAGAGGACGGATGCACCCTGATGTGCATCCGTATCGGTTTGGGACTGAGCGACTGAAGGTCTCTCAGGATCGGGGGGCGGGGAAGCTCGCTTTCGGACCTCCCGCCTTTTTATACCCTACCGCGCCGCCACGACCCGTGTCGAGCGCGGCAGCCGTTACACAAAAATAATCCTTAAAGCATGATTCAGTATTCACGTGCGACGGCGCGATGGCTTATTTCATGTATAAGTTTGGTGTTTCTATACCGATTTCTATGATTCTTTTTTTATT